TGCTTACCACTATCAACAAGTGTAAACCATCTAACAATTATCCTCGACATCGTTGGTAGGAAGAAATTCGGCCATTCCTAGAAATTTCACGTTAAAAAAAATGCAAAAATTGATTTCCATTTGCTTACCGTATCGAGCGAGTTACAAAAGCGATCTCGGGCTGTTTCCGCGCATCTCCTAAACATTTTCAGTGCCAGACCAGCTAAGGATTCCAACTTATGATTGCTTACTAATTTCGACCCTATGACTTCGTCACAGCTCTAAATTATAGTCAAACATAAAAGCATGATCTTTCTGAATACAAAAACTAACATCCATAGCAGTGACCACTCCACACATGATGAAATCAAGTAAATCAGGTGATAGCGACGAAATCAAACTTATATCGCCAAAGACACTGATGGCTGCATGTAAGCAAAGAACGCTCAATCGCCAAGAAGGAACGTCTAGGGCACTAAAGTATGGAACATTTGATAACGTACACGTTCAAATCCACCAGTGGGAAATGGGTACAACTCAAAAATGCACATACCTCCCATTGAACATAGTATCTTGCCATTCTGGTGAATTCTTCTGTATATATTCATGAATATGCGCCAAAAACTCCAGTGGAGTCTCCGCATGGAATCTGTGAATAAACTCAAGATACTGAGGCTGCATAGTATGAATTCTACGTAATTTTTAAAATTACTCTAGCCCGAATTAAGAGATGATTTCAATAGTTAGGAAAATTACGCAAAATTCACAAAACTATGATAAAGTACATCTCTTCATCTTCACCTGCTTGTCCACCTATCCACTGCCTCCAATTTCATCCCAGAACAATCGCTCGATGACGCCCAATACCACACAATATCCTTATCTTCACTCTTACTCTGCCAAGATGCACCGCTTTCGCTTAGCACTCGCAGAGCCAACTGAGCTGAGGCTGGAGCTACGGGTAAACTGGTGATAGCAGAGATGGCACGATGGGTTGCAAGAGCTGTTCTCTGAAATAGCCAAAAATTGAAAACTGCAAAAAAAACCTGGTAAAGAAGGCAGTTCTCTACCTGGTACACGTCTTCCCATAACTTTATGCAATCTGCGAAAACATCAGAACGAGGAGTACACTCCCAACGCGTTTCGTATAGCAAGTTGATCACAGGTACAACAACGGCAGCATATGCCAGTGAGATGTTATGAGCTTTATCTGGAAGAAAAGATGCAACAAAAAGAATCGATCTGGTTTCAAGAAACTGAGGTCAAGTTTGGCCAATACAATGTAAAGGTGGCAATGGATGGAGCGAAAAAGTTTGATTGGCTAATACTCTAACCTTCACTATCTATACTAAGATAGATAACTGCTTTCCGGGCCGCATTCTTCATAAAGTGGAGTAACTGGTCCTCGGTTGAAGGCAGTTGTTGATGGGTATTGTCCGCTATTTCGGTAAAGAATCCATACTTTGCAACAACATCATTTTGCACCTTAGTGATGAGAAATTGCTAATTACTTGACAAATTGACTCAATGCTGGCAAAAGATAATAAAACGGAGTTTATCTTCAAACTATATCAGAGTAGCACAAAAGTAGAAGATACAATTGCTAGAGAGATAATCATAAGTGGAACCCACAAATTCGTCGAAAACCTCCAATAGCGACAACAGATCGTTTTGTGAAGGCAGTATAGGTGAATATTTTCGGTCAATGTACATTAACTGTGAGCAAACCATTCCTATTCGTCGCAGCCTAGGAAACCCACATTGAGAACTCATTAAATCGGTGTTAAGATAGCTATGAATTAAGGTAATATTCACTTTTCAATCGAATACCGTTGAGGCATCTCTTCATCTGTCACTTCTTCTACGTATGCAGTCAATATATGGCGAATGAGCAGTTCACAAGGAGGGAATTTCGCCAAAGTTTTCAAGACAGAGTCAATGTCTCAAAAAATAGAAATCTCAAAACTTGAAAAAGAAATTGTCGTGAAGTCAGAGATATCACCTACCGTCATCAGTGACATCAGAAAAGAAGATAGCTCGAAACAGATGACGAGAAAAGTCAGCGGTCAACTCTTCAGGTAGCTAAGAAGAGTAAATCAGTTGGAAGGACTACGTGTTTAGTTGTAACTGTATTACCTCTAATGATCTTGCCAATTCAGAGATAAAGTAAACCGAGAAGTCCTTTTGTTCCAAGAAGACTGAAAGCACTTCACCCCGTTCAGAGGTCTGAAAGATACCGAAAGTACGCTGGTAATTAGAAAAGTTCAAGAATATACAAAGTAGAGCACAAAACAAACCGATAATCTCTCCAGCACCTTCATGGCAGGTTCTAGGTCAATTATTTTACACCAATTTAACATCATTTTCTTCAAACAGGGTATCAGCTCTGACCCCATGGCTTTCACAACTAAGGGCCAATCATCAGAGGATAGCTCAGGAAATAGAAGTGGTGTGAAAGCAGCAGTCGAAAGCTAGAATCAGCAGGAATTGATATGAATGATGAGCAAATCGGGATGGGAACAGAAAGGATGCTTACGTTCAAATCATTGAAACGAAGAGGATTATTCCGAAGTACTCGAAGGACAACTCTGGCTTGGGTTGGAGATACCTGCTTCTCTTTGCTGAGCAGCGTTACAATATCAACGTTCTAAAT